CCATACAAAAAACAAACAGAATAAATTTCTGAATATTGTATTCCAAAGAACTGGCAGAGTTCACAGAGAACTGGGAAACATTTGCATTTCTATCAGAGTGAGGAGATCTTATTTAATACATGGGGCATTCAAAAGAGAACATAGAAGGGTCATTGCTTAGTAGTAGGGCTAAATTAGCCCTACAGTAAAAGCTACTATAGACCTGCCCTTATAAACCTTCAAGATAAACTTCAAAAATAACAAACTAATCCACAAATAACTTAACTGCCAGGAAAAAAAATTCCAAACTCTAAAATAATGAAAAACTACAATATCCAGCATCCAAACAAAAATCAATAGATATGAAAGTCAATTTCTTTCCTATGTATCAGCAATGAACAATTGAAATCTATAACTAAAAAAAGTTTTTAAATATGCCATTTAAAATAGCACACACACACCCAAAATGTATAAATTTAACAAAACACGTACAGGATCTGTATGTGGAGAACTACAAAACACTAATGAAAGAAATCAAAGAAGACCTAATTAAATGGAGATGTATTCTACATTCAGAGATTGAAAGACTCGATATGATGAAGATGTCAATTTTTCTGAACTTGATATATGGATTCAAAGCAATCCCAATCAAATCATAGCAAGCTATTTTGTAATATCAACAAATTGATTCTAAAATGTAAATGAAAAGGCAAAACACCAAAAAGAGCCAACACGATACTGAAGAAATCAAAGATGGAGGACTCATACTACTAATATTTCAAGATTCGCATAAAGCTACAGTAATCAACACGGTGTGACATGGGTAAAAGAATGGGCCCATAGATCAGTGCAAATACAGGCAACTGAATTTTAATAAAGGCACATCAAAAAAGGAAGGAAAGAATTTTCAACAAATGGTGCTGGAACAATTAGATGCCCACAAAAAAAAAAAAAAGAAGAACCTAGACTTTACATGGCTAAAAAGCCATTTCAGAGGAAAGAACAGAGAAAACAGGGAAAGAAATGAAATAAAAAAATTCACTGAGTTGAAAGAAACAATTCCTGAAATTGAAAGAGCCAACTCACTGTCAAGTGACATAAACAAAAGAGACTCAGATACATCCTGGTAAAATAATTTAAGGAAAGGTGGTAAAGCTTCCAAAGAGGGAAGAAAAAAACAGATTGCCTATCGAGGAATGGGCTTAGTTTGACAACACAATTATCCATTACAATGGGTACTACAAGGTACTGAGGCAAAGCTTTCAAATGGAAAATTAATTTGAGACTAGAATACCAAAGGAGCAGTCAAGTGTGAGGGCAAAATAAAGACATTTTCAAGGAACTAAGAATTCGGATATTTTATCTCCCATTTACTGTTTCTTCAAAATTATTTTAGGATGCACTTCAACCAAATGACTAAGATATTTAAGAAAAAGGAAGACATAATCCAAACAATGTAACTAACACAAGAGTTCAATCCAAAACAATGTAACTAACACAGTTCAATTAAAAAAAAAAAAAAAAGTCCCAGATAGCTGTGCTCTGAAAGCACATCAGTGAAAATTAGAACAAGAATCCCAATTTTTCAAGGCAAAAAAATTTTCAAAAAATGAGAAATTTGCATTCATCCAATACTGCAAGCAAGCTAGGAAATTTTGATGATCACTGTGCTGCTTGCTTCTGGTAAAAAAAAAATAATTAACTAGAAATTTTTAAACAAGTTGTAGAAGAACATCACCACCCAAATACAAAGTAAAACAAACCCTGGTATCATCTTAAGTAAAATCTGATCATGATTTATAGTGTAAGAGAATTCCTTCCTTCTGTTCCACGTCACAGAATTACATTTCCTTTTTTATGAGTCGAATTGCACTACTTGGTTCTGCAATAATTATTTCCTAATTGTAACAGTAAAGATAACGATCACTAACACTTATTTAACACTTAATAGAAGCCCTATTCTAATTCTTTTAGATTTATTAGCCAGCTTAGTTCTTTCAACAATAGCACAGTAAGGTTAAGTAACTTGCCCAAGGTCATACATGGGTTGGTGAACCCAGGCATTCTGGCTCCAGAATCCTTACTCTTAAATACTGACTATGACTCTTCTCATAATACTCTTTGTTAATTTACCATTTTTTTTTTTTAAGATTTTATTTATTTATTTGAGAGAGAGAATGAGATAGAGCAGGAGAGGGGGAAGGGTCAGAGGGAGAAGCAGACTCCCTGCTCAGCAGGGAGCGCGATGCGGGACTCGATCCTGGGAGTCCAGGATCATGACCTGGGCCGAAGGCAGTCGCTTAACCAACTGAGCCACCCAGGCGCCCCTGTTAATTTACCATTCTTAGAACCAACCTATCAATCTAAAACAAGAAGGAACAGTAACAATTATAAAACAAAATATAAATTATATAAAACTTACCGATGTAGAGAAAATAATTAGCCAAAGTAAGGAGAAGGAGAAGAATGTGTGTCAGCTATTTTTCTTATCTTATACAGGAGTAACTTCCTACATAACAGTTTTATTGTAACACAGAACTTTCTACATAATAGCAAAGTCAACAATTATATACATATACAATTTTTATATAAAGTAATAATATAAAAATCAGCAGGGAGGAGAGAGATAATGAACTTAAATTCCTCATATTTCACAGCAAGTATGATGGTTAAATTTATGGATACACAGCTGCTGTCAGTAGATATTGTCTAATTTTAATTTTAGAATGTTATATATAACTTACATAGTAACTCAGAAAATCTAAGAAAAGTTAAACTTGATACATTAAGAAATAGCAATATAAGCAAATTATTTAGAACTTTGGGAGGAATATCAGAAAAGCTAAAAATAGAAAAGGAGGGGGACTAGAGAGGGGGAAGTCCTTAATTTTTATTAAAATTATTAGATATTTTATTGTGAAAAAATGTTATATAATATTATTAATAAAAGTCGTATCCTGTAAAGAAGGGCATAAACTGGTGAGGATATCTTTCCATTCAGGCATGGTAATACAAGATGACAATAAATGCCACCTGTCCATAAAACCCAGTGGGACAAGGATAATATATGAACGTATTACAGAATACTCATGTTCTTTACTGATTCTTTGTTTCCACATTGTTATGGACTAAATGGCTCATTTTGTCATATAAACTTTTTTTTTTTACTTACTTTCATTTTATTTTTTTTAATTTTATTATGTTATGTTAACCACCATACATCATTAGTTTTTTTTTATTCTTATATTATCCCCATACATTGCATCATTAGTTTTAGATGTAGTGTTCCATGATTAATTGTTTGTGTATAACACCCAGTGCTCCATTCAGTACATGCCCTCTTTAATACCCATCACCAGGCTAACCCATCCCTCCACCCCCCTCCCCTCTAGAACCCTCAGTTTGTTTCTCAAAGTCCATAGTCTCTCATGGTTCATCTCCCCCTCCTTTCCCCCCCTTCATTTTTCCCTTTCTACTATCTTCTTCTTCTTCTTTTTTTTTTTTTTTAACATATAATGTATTATTTGTTTCAGAGGTAGAGGTCTGCGATTCAACAGTCTTACACAATTCACAGCGCTCACCATAGCACATACTTCTAAAGAGACGTTCATCAGCTTTAGACAACAATTGAATTACATATATTCCAATCCTCTGCTTTGTACACCACATTTAAGAAAGAGCTGTCTAAATTCACACATCGCTGGGGGCGTCTACATTGGTATAACCTTTTCAGAGTGTAATTTGGCAGTCCTTATTGAAATGTAAAATACGGTCACACTCTGACCTAACAATTTCACTTCTCAGAATCTACCCTACAGCAACACTCCCAAATACTCAAAGATAACTCCATACAGGGACTTTCAGTCAAGCTACTTACTACAGTCTATAACAGAGGAAAACGAAAACAACCTAAATGCGCACTAGTTAGACACAGAATAATTTGTTGCCTTTTAAAAAATAAAATACATCTAGGGCACCTGGGTGGCTCAGTTAGTTAAGCGACTGCCTTCGGCCCAGGTCATGATCCTGGAGTCCCGGGATCGAGTCCCGCGTCGGGCTCCCTGCTGACCCTCTGACCCTCCCCCCTCTCATGCTCTATCTCATTCTCTCTCAAATAAATAAAAAAATCTTTAAAATAAAATAAAATACATCTATATGGAGTGACACTAAAAAGAACCCGCAACATATCGTTAAGCGAGAAACGGCAAGATACAGAATAATATATTACAAATCTGTGTGTGAGATACATACATACATGATAGGTAGAGACAGACATACATATATTGGGCAGAAGGCAGTGGGCTTAAGGTGTATGGAGGAAACAACTTTTTACCTTGAAATTTGATTTGTTTTTTTTTTACAACTAGCACATATTATTTTTATAAAAATCTTAGGAAATAAGAGTATATCTCAATACATTCAAAAATCCAAAAAGAGAAACACTCAAGGTCTTTGCACCGGTTCACTCTCAAATCTAAGGAGGAAAAGAAACACCACACACTAGGTGGCACGTGGATTAGAGAACAGGCTGGCTTCACCGGTTGGGTCGTTCCTTAGTGAACGAGCTGGGGGTGGAAATGCGGACCCAGAAACCACTAAGGCAGAGCTCAGGCGTGAACCCGCGAGCCGCGGGGCGTGCCAGGCGGCCGCCGACCGGCGCGGGGGGGACCCGGGGCAGGGGGCCTGGGGAGACTTAGGACGTGGGCCCCGAAGCCAGCACGCCAGGAAACGCCCCGGGAACCCGGCGTGTGGGAAAGAGGCGGAGGGTCACAAAGCGAAGGCGCGGGCAGGCGCGCCGGGACCCAGCACGAATCCAGGGACGCCTCCCGAGCCCGAGGCGCGGCGGGCGGCGGCAGTCCGGCCCGCAGCCCAGGGTCAGCCCGGAGCGCCCGGGGAGCTCGGGGCGGCTTTCGAAGCCGGGGGAGCGGGCAAAGCGCCCGGGGAGCGGGCACGGGCGGGCCGCCGCAGGCCGAGGCCGGAGCCCCCGGTGCGCGCTCGGGGCGGACGCCAGCGCCCAGTACCTTCCCAGGAGAGCTCTCCGCCCGGCTCCCGCTTCAGGAACTTGTACCAGAACGGGTCCACGCGGCCCGGCTCCGCCCCGTCCTGCAGCGCCTCCTCGGGCGCCAGCTCCACCTCCCCGAGCCACAGGCCCGGCTCCTGCAGCGCCAGCGCCCCCGCGCCCGCCGCGGTGCCCGCCGGCCTCAGGCGCACGGCCCCGCGCGGCTCCCAGCGCCCCAGCTCGGGCCGCGACCCCACGACCAGCAGCTCCGGCGCGGCCCCGGCCACCGCGGGCGGCACCACCACCCCGAACCGGAACCGCATGGCGGCGGGCGGCGCAGCTCCGGGCGCCGGTGCCCCCGCGGCCGGCGGACGTGGCCCGAGCGCGAGGCGGCCGCGGCGATTGGGCGGCGGCGCGGGAGGCCTGGTCGCCGGAGGGCGGGGCGCCGGCGGGGACACGTGCGAGGCCGCACCCCTTTGGGGCTGCATCACGCGGCCCCGGAGCCGGGACTGGCCCCGCCGGGGGCCTGTGGCGCCGGGCGGCGGTCGCGGGCGAGGTGTCCTCTCGTGGAGAAGGCCGCTTGCTCGCGCCGGCCGCCTCTTCCGCAGCGCGGCTCCGCGGGGAGGCTGGGGACGCGGCGGAGGGGAGAGAAGGGAGCCCCGCGAGTTTCCCGTCAGCTTTCCCTAAGACTCGAAATTATGTTTCTGTGGGTCGTGAACGAACAAGGCGTGACAGGTAGACCGCAGCCTGCGGAATCGTGAAGTTGGGGGAAGATCGTGGCCGCGGCATCTGCAAGAGCCCCGGCCCTTAAACAGGCCCCTTACTCTAGGCCTCCGGTTCTTTATCTGTGAAGTGAGGGTACAGAATAACCAGCTTGAAAGACCCTGCTAACTCTAAAGGTTTCTCTGACTGGTGGAAGAGACGCCATTCAGAACCCAGAGCTGATGCAAAAAACGCTGGTTACTTTTCCCTTGTCTAGTCCAATTCGATGCCTGAAATAACAGGATCGCTTACATTTTTTCAAAAAATGTTATTTTTAGTATATGTAAAGCGGGTTTGGAGTAAATACTTTCAAGTCCTTTTCGAGGTAAAACAAAGACCATAATTCTATGATTACAAAGGTGTGACAATTTTTTTGGTGGCATAAAAATAAAACCTGTTGTTTAAAATTTGCCTTCAGTAAACAAAACGCTTTTGTGTCGAGAAATACAGATTTATAGCCGTTTGGTCAAAAAAAAAAAAACCCTATTTACATGGTTGGGGAGAAGGCTTTAATTTTTGTCACAGCTGTAAGGTAACCACCATCCCTCCTGTTTACATATTTGTTATTTTTTTATTCTTTAATAAAATTGTTCTCCTGTTCTTATATTTGTATATTCACCACTTAACACAACAATCTTTTATGCGAACCAGAGACACATAAAATATCTCTAGTTCACGTTTTTACCAGTATTTGAAAGCTTGTGAAAAATGGGGAGGAGGGAGCCAAAATTTCATGCATTAAGAATATCATAAGTAAAACAAAAAGAAGTACAAAAATGTAAACCCTACAAACTCAGTCTCTCAGTGGAACAGTTAGTAAAGTAATATGCTTTCCTCTTAAATACTGATATTCCGTTCGGTGTTTGGTTGGTTGCTAGGCTTAAGGATAAACACAAAGAAAAATGTTAAGACAGCAAGGCTGGCCAAACATGGCTGATTCAGCAGCAAAGCAGACATTAAATCACGGTGGCATGTGAGTCAGTTTATTCAAATTGCTGTTAACAAAATACTCTTAGACTAATTTTAGGAAATTAAGAGTCATTTGGCCATGCAAGGACCCTAGGAGCTGACAGTTCAGGACTATCTTGTGTTGTGCTACGCAGCCTGTGTGTAAACTTTCCAAATGGCATTATTCCCACCAGCTCTTTCAAAGTGAGTACTGTCCATTCCCTAGATAAAACAAGGAGAAGAAGGAGGGGGAGAGGGAGGAAAGGAAGGAAGGAAGGAAGGAAGGGAGGGAGGGAGGGAGGGAGGGAGGGAGGGAGGGAGGGAGGGGAAAGAAAGAAGAAAGAAAGAGGACAATATATTTGTTCAAGAGGCATTATTTCCTTTCATTTTCTCTCATCATAAAGAAGTTGACTAATCTTGGGCGCCTGGGTGGCTCAGTTGGTTGAGCGACTGCCTTCGGCTCAGGTCATGATCCTGGAGTCCCAGAATTGAGTCCCACATTGGGCTCCCTGCTCAGCAGGGAGTCTGCTTCTCTCTCTGACTCTCCCCCCCATATGCTCTCGCTCTCTCTCTCGTTCTCTCTTTCTCAAATAAATAAAAATCTTAAAAAAAAAAAAAGAAGTTGAGTAATTTTAACAGTTGGAAGTACTGCTTTAATCCCCAAACAAAATATGTAATATTTTATGGCATAGATTGAAATATAGTACAAATATGATGGCTACATTATGCACTAAGTAAAATGCAATTGGAAAGAACAAGACCAAAAGGACATATTCCAAAGCCTCAATCATACTTCATCAATCATTTGAACTTATTAACCATAAAATTTATAATAGCCATTGAGCCCTTATTATGAACTAAGCATGTGGTTTTCAAACTCATATTATCTCATTTAATTCTCTCACCAATCCTATGAAGTAACTAATATCGTATCTCCATTTTTATATGTGAGGAAAAGGTACAGAAAGTTTCAGTAAGCAGCTCACAGCTAGGAAGGGACAGGGCCAGTGCTAAAAGTCATCCGTTCAGCTTACAGTTAAAGATATATATTACATACATTATATGTATAATTTGATTTCTAGGAAAATCATTTACAAACTGCCTTTAAATCCCAGCATATTTAAATGTGTTATTCTCCACTAGCTCTTAATGAAAAATTAACTTCCTATAATTATTTCCTACAACCAATTTCATCCTTAGGAATGATGAAACAGATGAATCTAAACTAATCTTGTTGACAATGGAAATACAGATTTGGAAAGTCAAGGTGAAGGCATGCCTGGGTGGCTCAGTTGGTTAAACGTCTGCCTTTGGTTCAGGTCATGATCTCAGGGTCCTGGGATTGAGCCCCGTGTCTTGTTCCCTGCTCAGCAGGGAGTCTGCTTCTTCCTCTCCCTCTGCCCCCCCAACCCTGCTCCTGTGCGCTCTCTCTCTCAAATAAATAAATAAAATCTTGAAAAGAAAGAAAGAAAGGAAGAAAGAAAGAAAGAGGGAAGGAAGGAAAGAGAAAGAAAGAAAGAAAGAGAGAAAGAGAAAGAAAGAAAGAAAAAAAGAAAAGTCAAGGTGAAGACGAAAGCAAGAAAGAAAGAAAGAAAGAAAGAAGGAAAGAGAAAGAAAGAAAGAAGAAAGAGAAAGAAAAATAAAGAAAAAAAGAAAAGTCAAGGTGAAGACGAAAGCAAGAAAGAAGAAAAAGAAAGAAAAGAAAGAAAGAAAGAAAGAAGAAAAAGAAAGAAAGAAAGGAAGGAAGGAAGAAAGAAAGAAAGAAAGAAAGAAAGAAAGAAAGAAAGAAAGAAAGAAAGAAAGAAAGAAAGAAAGAAAGAAAGAAAGAAAGAAAGAAAGAAAGAAAGAAAAAGAAAAGTCAAGGTGAAGAATTTTGCCGGTTATTAAGCTGTGTTATTCCCAGCTTTTTTTCCTGGTTGAGTTCTCCATGTGAGATTTCTTTTTACATTTCAAAGAATTGTGGTGTTTATTAGAAGTGATTATTTATGGAATCCATTTGAGATCAGATTCTTGATGCTATAAAGACAAGCTGAATTTAGAGAATCAGCTCAGTAAAGTAACATAATTCTGATAATAATTTTTAAAAGACCAAACTAATTTGTTGTCATTGAATTTCATTTCTATAGTGCTATCATATATAACCACAATATTTCCTGAAGAATGGGTGATAAATTCACATTTAGAGTTTCAGGATCCAATTCAAATGTAAATTCTTTCAAAGCTCCCTCAGGGAAAGCTATTATTTGGAACTATGGTAATTTATGTTTTCTGAAGCAATCTTTCACTAGTCAGTGAGTTATAAATCTTCCTTTATAATATTGTATATGTATACACACACTCACTCACTGATGCAAACCATATTTCACCCAAATAGTTCAGGGACCGTTATAAGCATTAGTTTATTACTTGTCAGAACATACTAAGAGTTAAATGTGCCACATATACTATTTCCAATTTTGTGGCTTAAAAAAATAAATAAAAACAAACAAAACCTTCCTGAAAGAATGTGATTATAGCTTGGAAATTTTGCATATTGCAGCTCACTTTTTTCTGGGTTGGAAAATTGTAGGTTAAGCTACTTGAAATCCCTTTGAGGATCTGGAGCAATAGAGAGATTTGAGCTAACCAAGGCTTTGTCCAAAAATTCCAAAATATTTCTCAACTATTTAAAAAATCCATGCCCCTTTCTGATACATATAAAAATCTCCTATCTGCAGGAGATTCCAATAATTCCACTTCCCACCCCATCCCACCAGATAGACAAGAACTGCATTTTTAGTGCATCACCAACAGTCAGTTTAGTCATGCATTTTTATGCCATTTATGCTATAGAAATATTGATTTATTTATTTTATTTTATTTATTTATTTATTTATTTATTTATTTATTTATTTATTTATTTATCTATCAGAGAGAGAGAGAGAGAGAGGCAGGCAGAGGGAGAAGCAGGCTCCCCGCTGAGCAGGGAGACTGATGCAGGACTCAATCCCAGGACCCTGGGATCATGACCTGAGCCGAAGGCAGATGCTCAACCGACTGAGCCACCCAGGTGTCCCAGAAATATTGATTTTTTTTAAGTGGTCCAAGTATAAAATTACAGTGAAGCATATGCCTTTTCAAAAGACATTGACTGGCCCCTTCCCTGGCACACTCACCCCTCCCCCCGCTCCTGTCAGCATTGTAAAACCCACACCTCCTCTCAGCACTTCTCAACTGAGTGCCTCTTCTCAACAGGTCGGTCAAGCCTGGATTCTGTCAAGCAATGACCTCAACTGGCTTTTCCTAAGGAAAGCAGAGGGCCAGGCCAGATAGCTGGACCTTGAGTTTAGAGACACCAGTTTAGAGCCTCTTTCAGATTGAAAAAGATCCTTCTAGGTCTGGGGTAATTTGAATGGCAGGCTAATTAACACCTTTCTCAAAAAGGGGTAGAGGGCCAAGCAAGCGCCTGGGTGGCTCAGCCAGTTAAGGGGCTGCCCTTCAGCTCAGGTCATGATCCCAGGGTCCTGGGATCAAGCCCCTCAACGGGGAGCCCACTTCTCCCTCTCCCACTCCCCCCTACTTGTGTTCCCTCTCTTGCTGTCTCTCTCTCTGTCAAATAAACAAATAAAATCTTAAAAAAAAAAAAAAAAAAAGGTAGAGGGCTTGATAACTCAACCCCTAGAATAAGAGTG